GCAGCGGATCTCCATGAGGATTGCCATGCGCGGAATGTCGCGACGGGTCCTGTAAATTAGGCTTCCGACAGGGTTCTGACACCATTGGTCCCCCGTCCAATTTCTGCGCGAAGGAGTTTTTCCAGCGCGGTTCCTGCGCGATGGTATTATTGGGGCATTCGGTGGAGCTCCTGGGGGGCCACGCAACGTGCGAGGGGCGGGGCGAGCGTAGCGCAGCGGCGGCGCGTGAGCCCAGCCGCTGGGGCCCGCGGCGGGGCCCCCCTGGGAGCTGCGAAGCTTGTGAGAGGACGAGAAACCGTGCGCGACCGATTGTCCTTTTGTTTTTCGTTCAGGCGGGGGGCTTTCGGTGCCCTCTCTGGTCCGTTTCGCGCATCTTGGGTTTGTTTTGGGGCTCTCAGGGGCCGTCGTGGAAACATCTCGAGGCCTCGAGGGCCGATCGGGGGCGAAAGGGCGAGAAAACCAAGGAACGCGATGCTCTTGATCCGCTTGAAGGGTTGTGGTGTCGCGAGGCCCTCGCGGGGCTGTCTCGTGGCTTCGTTGGGTCCGCCCTGGGGCTCTCTCGGGCCATCTTGGAGCCGCGCGGGGTCGCGCGGCCGCTCAGGCGGCGCGGCGCGCCCGCCGTTGAGCGCGCGGCAGGGGGGCCGCGCAGGCGCGCGCAGATTAGTCTCGCACCCCCGCCGCGCAGCCTCAAATTCAAAAGAGGGCGCCTGCGAAGGGGCCCGCGACTTGGATTGAGCTTTTTGTTTTCGCGTGGGTTCCCACGCCGCAGGTGTTCAGCAGGGCTCCCGCGCGACGCGCGGTCAATAGGTTTCCTCGCGCATCGCGCTGTCAGTTGGGCCCCCGGGCCCCGGATGCCCCGTCGGATTCCCGCGCGATAGGTTGCCGGTGCGACACGCGTGCGCTTGCGCAGTGGGATTCCAAACCTAACCTTCGTGCGCTATTGGCTCTATAGCCATTGCATTGTTTTCTTACTCACGAACGGCGGAATTGTGGGTTTCCAAACCTCGCCTTCGCGTGCTATTAGAGTCCTAGTCTTCGTGGGCGATCTCATTGTGGGTCCTCGGGGCGATTCCGATCAAATGTCGATTCAATTCTATTTGGCGATTAAGTGAAGTTGGTGGCAATTCTTCTAGCGCCCGGATCGCATTGGATCCGCGATTAATTTGCATGGCCGCCCAAACAATCCCGAACACGAGCCCGAACCTTTACTCTTACACATTCATTCTTGGTAGACGCGAAGGTCAGGTTTGACTCGAGTAGTAGTAGTAGTAGTAGTAGTAGTAGTAGTAGTAGTAGTAGTAGTAGTAGTAGTAGTAGTAGTACTAGTAGTAGTAGTAGTAGTAGTAGTAGGTAGTAGTAGTAGTAGTAGTAGTAGTAGTAGTAGTAGTAGTTAGTAGTAGTAGTAGTAGTAGTTCTAGTAGTAGTTGTAATAGTAAGCAGTTTGTAGTAGTAGTAGTAGGAGTAGTATTAGTAGTAGTAGTCGTAGAGTAGTTAGCAGTAGTAGTAGTAGTAGTAGTAGTTAGTAGCTGTAGTGTAGCGTTAGTAGCAATATCAGTAGTTAGCAGTCGTAGTGTAGTAGTAAGGTGTAGTTGTTAGTGTAGTAGTTTTAGTATTCGTCGTATTTCGAAGTAGTAGTAGTAGAAGAAGTAGAGGTTGTAGTAGTTTCGTAGTCGGAGTAGTTAGTGTAGTAGTAGTAGTAGTTGTAGTAGTAGTAGTAGTAGTTAGTTATGTAGTCGTGTAGTAGTAGTAGTAGTTAGTTTAGTCGGAGTTAGTAGAAAGTAGTAGTTATGTAGTAGTAGTGGGTAGTTATATGTAGTAGTCGTAAATAGTTTAGCAGTAGTAGTATAGAAGTAGTAGTTGTAGGAGTTGCTAGTT